CTGAAAGGAAAGCGATTCCGTGATGTGGATGAAGTCAAAGAAAACACGCTAAAGGCTTTGAACAGTATCCAGCCTCAAGAATTCCAGCACTGTTTTGAGCAGTGGCAAAAGCGTTGGGACAAGTGCATTAATGCACATGGACAATACTTTGAAGGGGACTAATACACAGTTCAATAAAAATGCAAAAATAAAAAATAACAAAAATAAATTCCGGTTATTTTTGGGTCCCCCCTCGTACTGACAACAGTCTTAAAATTACTGACTATGACTGACAAATGACAGACCCGACCTCTCATCTGAGAGGGCACCGCACATGGACAGGACAGCAACTTTCACATAAGAAGCAACATCTGGGCATGAGCCCCAGCCGGGACTAAATACCAAGACAGACTGACTGACCATCAGTCTGAATATGACTTTGACTTGACTTAGTCCTGTCATCCAGAGGTAGGGACTAGGTCTGTCAATTGGGCCCAGCTGAGTGGGTTCCACCTGACAACAGAGACAGAATCCAATCTCTGAAACACTGCGTTTTAAATAAAAAAAAGGATGATGGATAATGTCTGGAGACACAACAAGTGTATTAATATGCCATCGTAACAAAGTTTTAGATCTTATTAGCATATGTGAAATTATTAATTTGGGTGTTACACATTCCTTAAACTTTCAGATACCATATACCAGGCATGTCCAACTTCAAACAGGTTGTGATTGACTTTTTAGTGTCAAAACTGCCACTGATCTACCACCCCCTCCTATCGTCGTAACTCGCTTTAAGCAAAAATATTGGTAAAAATAACATGACACATGATGTTTGTTGTAAAAGCAACCAGTAACTGGGCTGTGTCTTTGATGTCTGTAGATTCATCCAGTTGGAAGGAGACAGCAACGCAATTGTAAACGTCTTTCAATAACTGTTCAGCTGTGTTTCCACACATCATTTCTATTCGCTGCACAATGATGTTTCTTGATAATTAAAGATCTTGAATAGTAGCTATGATCTCTTTCTTATTTTATATTACAAGTGAATTTACATGATTTTCACAATATTATATTTAAGCATCCTGTTGCACTCCATACGATAAATGATATAAACTCCGTCTTAAGTGCAAACAATATATTTTGTGTCTTTGATCTTGCTCCCTACACTACATGTTTCGGCCTCAGACGGCCATCATCAGGTGTATAACACTCACGTCGCTGTCACACTGCACCCAGTTCAAAATTTAACATCTAAAACACTCTCCCTGTCATTATCAACTTCTACTTCGTTGATAGCTGTCCACCCGTAGATTACTTCACACACGTTAATTTTGAGTTTATTGTAATAGCACCATAATAAAATCTTTAGTTCTAATTTTAAACCTTTAAATTCTTGTCCAAATTTTAAA